AGCTGTTTTGCACTTTTTTCCTATCCTAATAAGTAGTAATAGTACATGTCTCGTGAATTTTAAAATAAAATTCAAATGTTTCCATCCCGTAGTTACGCCACTGATACAATATAACTAGTTTATTATAATATATAGGTAGGTACTACGCTACGTTCAACTCATGATTAAAACTATAAAATATCCAATATTTTTTTTTTTTTTTTTTGCAATGATCCTACACTTAATAAAATAATACACTAATATAGTAATACGTAAAAAAAAAAAATAAAAAAATGTATAATTTTCACTCGCCATACACATAAGTAATACATACGTGTAAACACGTAGTAACACATTTAGTCAAGTCTGACACGATGTTAAATATAAAAACTTATATATACTTATAACTTTGCAATTTAATTTTATAATAATCATTGTTGTATTTTAGTAAACTTTATCATTCGTATACTCGTAGATACCTATAGTATGATACGAACATAATAATTAATATTAAAATAATAACAATAATGCGATGTCCCTAAGAAATTTAGAACATATATTAAATATTAATGAAATCCTGATATAACATGCATATACTATATTATCCGGCCAATGGGATATCCCATTCTCCATTGCAGGATCCAACTATACTATGTTAAACGACGACGAGTTAACAAGATTTCCGCGCATTTAAAATATCACTCGCATCTGCTCCCCTACGGAATTCCGGGGCTAATTTCTCCACACGCATAATAATGCACGTATGTAAGTAGGCGTACATAGAGATACACATTGTCGGGCAATATATTATTATAATCACGGGACTCGCGCAGGATTCCGCGTCGGTGCAGTGTTATAATTTATTACACGCGTATTTACCTACATTATACGCAATACAATGCAATGACAGAACGCGACGAGGTTGCTGTACACGGTTTATTATTGCTCAAAATCCGCCAAAAAGTCGGCATTCCCGGCGGAATTCTTTTCAGCGACAGCCGCGTTTATATATATACACCTACCGTATAACTACTGTATTATTTATATCCTTTACATGGTATATAAACGACGAGATCTGTTGCGGACTGCGGAGATTATTTTAATTGCTCGCCGTCAACGCGTCGCTTTAAACACATAATATACATATATACGAACGAAAGACATTATATTATTAAACGCACAGATATGCCGCCGCTGCACTAATTAGCTATTAATTGCGACTTGCGCACATACCGTTTTTGTTTTCATGCTTACGTATAGTTGTATATGTGCGTGTGTGTGTTTGGATTATGGCCGACACTAAATAATAATTAATAGATATATATATTTAAATCGTATACAGAATGATTCACCAAGCATGCTCACCCCTATTTATTTCATGTAATTAATTTATTCAAAATCTCTGAATTTTTTTAATTTTGAAATAATGGATAAACTTGAAGATCTTAATTTTAAATTATTGAGATTTTTGTACTCCTTAAGAAGTGTTCCATGGTGATAGAAACATCTGTTTATTTCAATAAAAACCCTACATTTTTACTATAAATTATTTAGCGGGTATTTAAAAAAAAAAATAAAAAAAATAGTCTATAAAAATATAAAATAGATGTAATATTGAATTTAGGTAATGTATTTTTATCTTTGAAGCTTACAAAGCAAAACTGGATTGGCTGAACATAAATTTGCTATGCTGTTTGATTGTGTATAATAGTGCCCACTGCAGTGCAATGCATACACGGGTTGCACATTGCACAATGGATTCCTCTTAATAAGCGTATTCCTGACTGGTATCTTTAACTTTCAAATGATTTATCTATTTGAAATAAATTAATGTACCTTCCTATATTTTCAAAAATATCGCACTCCTATTAGTAATATTAAGACAGATAAAAATATATACACAATTCATTAACAAACTTAATGGAGCTTTTATGATAATAATGTTTACCAATTCACTAATAATAATATCATGTTTATTATATAGAATTGTATTTTATGTATACCTAATATTAAAGTTTTCCACGGCGTTTAAATACATCTTTGCAAACTTAACAAGATCGTCATTCGTTACCCTCAAATATTTTTTTTTCAACATTTTAAATCCTACCCAACGACGGTGAAGATCACATCTGTAGCCTACCCTTTTAAGCCGGTCCAGGTTCTAGTGCGATGTAATATTCTATTGTTAGTGAGGTTTGTGCGTCTAATTCTATCCTGTGACAGAATTGATATCAAACATATTATTTTTTTTTTTTTGTAACCCTCCACGGTTTCGGGAGCCCGGTGCATTATTGTATGGATATGAAATTATTTTATATGCATACTATTGTGTTATAACTTACAAATAATAGCAAGCATGAAAAATCGTTAATCAGTTTGGCGTTTATTGCTTTTAAAACCTACGTCGACCGTAATCAAAAAAATACGTTAGATTGATTTAATTATTTTTCACAACCTACATATTTGTTCGGATATTTTTTTTAGACACATAGAAGTTATACCTTAACTAATAGTCTTAAAAATCTGAATGCCATCTACGTCTTATAATGATATATCGATTTATGATAACTCGAAAAGTACCTAGGTACTTTAGGAAGTATAATATTTACATAAACGTTATAACGCCTATATAGTTAGTAGATATGAAATATATTAATATACTATACTTATTATAAAAAAATTACATTTTGTACACCGTACTTACTAAATAATAGAAAAAAACTCGCTATTTAAGTATACCTACTGAAAATATTATTTAAATAGCATTTTGCTAAATAATTTTACCTTAACATTAATTTTTATCATGCATTTTTATTATGTATGTTTATTACTTCCACTGTTTATATGAATGTGTAAATTTTATAGTTAATAATAAATAAATAAAAATGTTTTATTTTTCATTTTATACAATTTTTTATTTTTTGTTGATTATAAAATTATCTTTATTACAAGGTGCCAATTTCACAAGTGCGATGACAACGTCTGCTTTGGCTTTTATATGCATTAATTACAAAAATTATGTAAATACATACAGTAAAGTAAAGTCTGCTAAAAAAAAAAATTGATAAAAATCAGCATTACGTATAATATATGATATACCTAATCGTGACACCATGACTTTAGCGACGTGGGCCCCGCAAAATTCGAAAAAAATTGCGTGCAAAATACTATTATAGCTTATAGAGTAATACTACTAATATATACACTTATATACATAATTTAAGTTTATATAATAATTTATGATTTATAGTATTAATATGTATAGTGGGTATTATTATAAGTGTATATTCCTGTGCAATTAATGGACATTATTATCATAAAAGGCGCTTAAACACTGAAATGGAATTTAATCAACTAATTAGGTACCCAACTATTAGGCAATACAATGTATATAATATGATACAGTATAACATGTAAACAGATATTATTAGCTCTATAGAAGAACGCTACTACTCATTATATCTTGTGCTAACAACAATAAATGTTTATGGTTGTTTAGGATTTTCAATTTTATCGTATCCAGTGCATATAAACAACCACAACCTGCAGATAAGAACTTTGATAATTATTTAAATATTCTAAAAGGACCATTTTGAATTTCTTAAGATAAATATATCTTTTTCTTAATTTTATAGTGTCTACTCCTAGCAACTTTACTACTCTATCTATATACTATAAGATAGCTGGGAATATATAACTATATACGAATAATAAATCGATCCTTATACTGAACAAGATTTTATTTTTCAATACACTTATTGAAATTATGATTTTAGGAATTTTGAGTTGGTACCTACTTATATTTAAAATTATTAAGGAAGTGGCCCATAGTGGAAAAAACGTCTTGTTTAAAACGAGATGAACCCATCATCCTTTTTTCCTTTAAATTTAAACACGTGATTTTTTTTTCTTGAAAATGTTGACGCATTTAAATCATATTCTATTTAAAGTTCATAGTCACTGAGTTATTAAATTTTCTACGCTAAAAAAAATGTTACTGTTCTTTAATACCCCTATCAGAAATTTGAATAGTAAACATTGCATGAATGGAAAATAAATTTAAAAATGCAATGATAATATGTCTATAATTTTTAAATGTAATCGTAACCTGTATTTGCCTGTCAGAGACCCACCCCACTTTCGCTGTGTTCTAATAACGACTTAAACGTAAAAAAAATTCTATGAGTCTTTTCATATAGGAGTTAACGTGTTCATCTATAATAGTAATTATTTATTATTTATGTATTGTTTATACAATTTACTTTTATCACCTGAACGATAAAATATATGATATATATCTCATGAGATGTAAGAAAAATGGCATTTTTTTTTACTTTTTGTCTCTTATCAAAATACGTTATCAAAATATGAGTTCGTATCTGTAACGATATATATATTATTTAAATATATCATGCTAGAATTAATATCGTCTTAAGCGCTTTTCTGCAATGTATGTGTATACTATGTACTTACATATAATATATTGTATCAGCATTGTTCACATAACAAGATAATATCGTATGCATATGAAATAACATATAATTATAGCAACTGCTGACAATGTTATGTGAATTTCATCGTTCTCGCGAGCACGTTGTCTATATGATACACATTTCCAAAGCAGCGCACGATCATTGTAAGCGGATTTGATTATAGTGCTGTAGGTACATTTTAATACTTCTGTGTATTCTTTTGATATTGAATTTTGAATTGAATTCTTATATTTTGAGTATATAGAAATGAAAACGCTATTGATATATTGGCACTCGACTAAAAACTAAATCGGATAACCGAGAGTTGATCGGAAGGTCTAATTCATTTGTAGATGTGGCGTTAATAATTCCCCTCTTGCGCCCACTCTAAGATTCCGTTCGCAGTACATACACTGCAGCAGATACACAGCCGATGTCAATTTGATAACGTGACAATAGGGGAAAAAGATATAACTAATTATTAAATCAATACCTATAAAATATGTTTATAGATATATAATATTAAACGTTTTAATTTTGTTATTTTAGCGGATCATCGATCCAACGCGACATACGAGTGATGCACCTGAATCGCCGTTGCAGTTGTAGTCGCTGTTGCTGGACTAAAGAACATATTATTATACGTTCATAGTACCGCTGTTTCACATTAGTGCACAGACATACAAACAGACAGGTGGGAACAAGTGGACAGACAGCCAGACGGACGCCACAATACACGCGTTGCACGTTATGATGATGACCAACTGTCTGCAGCAGAGCGTGTGCGCTGAGGCGACGGCCATGCAGGCGATGGAATTGCACCGTCGGAATAGCGGGGGCGGAGGCGATCAATCGATCGGCAAGTCCGGTCGCGACGACGGTTCGGCTACCGAATACAACGACGACCGAGTGCAGCCCACTTCCGGCGGTCGTCTGAACGGTTCGGCCGAGCGTCCGTTGAAGTTCAGCATAGACAACATATTGCGACCGGAATTCGGTGGCGGTACCGGAAGCTTGGCCACGTCCGGTGGCAGTCCTCCGACGGTGTTCAACCCGTACGACCACCATCACAGACACTACCACCCCCACCTTCACAATCTCCAACAACAGCAACAACAACAACACCTCCACCTCAACCACATCGACCGTCTGAATCACCTAAACTATCAACTCCATCATCTCAGCCAACTCAGTCACAACGCTGCTACGGTGGCCGTCAACGCCAATACGGCGGTTCGTGCGGCCGCGACGGCTATCAACGATTCGGCCGGCCCGGCGTCGTCAGATCACGAAAAGTCCAACAGCAGCAGACGGTCCTCGTCGTCGTCCACCGTCGAACCGCTGAGCTCGCCCATTGATCTATCGTGTTCCGACTCGCAGACCTGCGCTAACCCCGCCAACTCGATAACCGCGAGCACCACTACTGTCGCCGCAGCCGCTGCCCACGCCACCGCCAACGCCACGCACGTTACGACCAGCACTGGTTCCATAGACGCAGCCATCAATGCAGTTGCTGATAAAGAGGGCTCTCAACAATGGCCGGCCTGGGTGTACTGCACTAGATACTCGGATCGCCCTTCTTCCGGAAGAAGTTAATATACAAGATAAATACTTCCTCCCTCTCGGCTCTACTACAATGTCAACACTCAATCGTTCCATAAGAATTATTAATTATTCGTCTTGCCCAACTGCGTTGTGTGCCCGTCACAATTTTCATTGCCAATATGACGTTGGCGTTTACCAATAATATTATTAGAAAGAAAAAAAGTTGCTTGATTAAAATAAATTAGAATCATACAATGAGTCATTTCGAATATTAATTAGTTATTGTTAATGAATCTGTGTATTAAATATTTATCCAAATAACAAATAGGTACGTGCGTAAAATCAAATAAAAATAAGACAATATCATTAAGATCTAAACGATTAAGGAAGCATGCAAAAATTATAAACGTATAGTTAATATAATTATAATAAACCATGATAAATTCAAGGACGATTGCACATTGAATGAAATGTCATGTCATTAAATTAGTAAATTCGTCACAGTTAAACGTTTAAAAGTTCTGATTGTAACTGCTGTTATCGGATACAAGCATGAATATTGTTTTGTAGAATAATGATATTGATAATTAAATCAATTGAAGCTTTTACTATTGGTGTATAAACATACCACACTATTTTTTTATACGCATATATATATAGACGGGTTGTAATAGATGTTGCTTTAAGATATACCTAGATGAATTTTCGTTTATACTTCACAAAGTGTCAGTTATGTCGATTATACAGTATTGAATTGTAGATATATAATAAATTTATGTATACATATTATTGAAGTAGGTACCTATTTTAATTTTGTTCAGAAAATTTCAATGATATTTTATTAGTTTTAAAATTAAAAATTAATATTTAGTATTTTTAAATTTGAATATTTTCGTTTCATCTACGAAAAAAACACGAGGGATACTGTTTTATTGTACAATATGTTAACTTAACCTCATTTTTCAGTTATAAATTATCTTCGGAAGTCCGTTGACCTTATTGCTAGATATAAATTACCCTTTCCTCCTACCGGTTAGTAGTTGATTTCTTACGTAAGTTTCACCATGTAGCTAGGGTAGTGCACGCACAGAACGCTAATTGCGAATAATTTAAATAACATCTCCTACAGGCTATGGCTGTCCGGATAAATCGATCGTAATTTAATACAGCAGATTACTGAGTTATATCAAGTACATCATTTTCGAATTGATTTTCGTGAAGTACGCACATTACAATTACAGTTTCACAAACTTAGTAAGCTTGTAATATTACCTATAATATAGGTCAGTTGAGTCGTATGTTGTGTAGATAAATCCTTGAGTAGCGCTTGCGGGCAGTAATATTGATGAAGAACTTCTGTGTGTATATGTGTAGCTTACCTTACAATATACTATGTGGTGTTCAGTATTATTATCAAGTGACTCCTGGTATATACATAATATTTATCAGTAATTTATGTCTGCGTTGCAGAACTATTATTGCCCGCCGGAATCGTGTAACGCGTAGAGCCATTGCAGTGATACACTTAACAGTTCTTGACGTTTGTTTGCCGTTTTTAGAATATCATTAAACAAGTACACAATGTTTCATTTTATTTTCCACAATTAAATTACAATGCAAAAATAAATACGATTATTATTCTCATATTATTCGGTCAACGATTACGCGTGAAAATAAAATATGATATAATAAAGGTACATATAATAGGTTTGGCTCATAGGTTACAGACAACGCACTTTCGTATTTGTGTGTTTACTCGAGATTAATCATTGTATAAATAATGATCAAGGAACATTGAACGTTTATAATCAATACGAACATAAAATAAATAATTTTATACGTAAAGTATAATTATGGCGTATTGTGTATTATATAAATACCTATACGTATAATTTATTTTATGCGCGGTATACGTATTAGGCCCATACTAAGATTTTCGTCAACTTTGCGCATTGACTTAAAATCTCACCGATTTAACTTACTATCAAGTTATTTTTTTCATTAATCTTTGTCGAAGAGCCCCGATAATAATATTAGGTACAACTACACATATACTACTAAATCGCAATAACTAAATTATCGATCGGTGCAGTTTTCGAGTCGTGATATTAGACGAGTAAGCGAAATTAATGTGTGTAATATTATTTATTTTACTATTATGCAAATGATAACACATTAATATATTATAATATACCTACTCATACGTTGTAGCTATATAATAAATGTGTTCGCGTATAATAGTCTTACGATTATCGAGTCGCCGAGGCGTGCACCGTAAGGTTACAAATGAGTTCGTTTAACTATATAGTAGGCAAACGGGAACGACGACATTTGTCGAACGTCCAAATAATCATACTCATATATATATATATATATATATATATATATATATATATATATATATACGCGCATAATATTACAATACCTAATACCTGAACAAATATAGCTGACGGTATATATAATCACCGCTAGGAAATCGAATATTGCAATTGTGATTAATGCTTTACCGTGTTACATTATACGCGATCACAATCGAAACAAGCGTATCTACGTGCAAACGTTTCGTAATTATGAAAATTTCAAAAGCGTATTTATACAGAAGATATAAAACGTATATTATATGGAATGACTCATTAAGTATATTCAATCCCATTTTAGATTTTTTGCGGAGCGATTAATATATTAATTTTACAGTTATGTGTATGTGTGTGTGTGTTACACGGTAATCAATAAATATATAGTTTGATCTTCAATTTTGAGAATGGTTTCTGACATAAAATTGGATCTAGTTTGTATTTTTAAAAGGTTAAAATTAAAAATTCTTTGTGTTTTATAGTATAATTTGGTAAAACAAACAAAAAAATTAAGAAAAAACAGAAATTTTATGCAAACTATCAGCATTCGAAAAAATCTATTTCATTTTTTGATTTAACTTAGTAACGAATATTTAAAATTTTTTGCGAAGGAAGTTCCGAAATATATACTGTATAATAATATAAGATAAAAATGATAAAAATAATAGTTTTTTGAACTTAATGACATCGAAATATGTAATAACAAACATAACATCATTAAAATAATAATACTAATCTAGATAAGAAAGATAAAACTAATGATGGTCCTTTAGTATAATATGTATTTTATACGTTTTTATTTATGAATAATAAATTAATGTAAACAATCGCTAGCAAGTTATATTTTATATGGTGACTACTTCACATGCCTATACGTATACAATGTAACAAATAGATCGATTTTATTTTACTTACCTTAGTATAAAATATGATATTTTTGAAACAAATTGAAATGACATTTTGTTCTGTAAATGGAAATCACCGCACTATTATTTGTTTCTATTAAAAGTATTTTATAAAAACTGCGTTAAATAATATATAATTACTTTGATAATTATATACTTTGTAACAAATCAACAAATTAAATTAACTATTATGCCCTACAGAAATACAAAAATTTTCACATTCATACACCTAATTTTAAAAGCGGTTTATAGATTTAGGCCCCAGTTGCTTCTGGCCCTTTCGAAGGATATTTCAAAATTGGCGAAAATACCAGCACGTTATTCGTAACCAAAATACAAAAAAAAAAAATAAACAAAATGTTGTCAAATCTTTGTTGATTTTGTTGAGCCATTATCCATATTCAATACCATAACTGCAGTGGATCCAACCTATATAACATATTATCATCATATTATAATAAATTTATAATACATCATATATCAAAATACCGACGAAACGCAGTAGTCGTACAAAATAAAAACTCTGCAGCGATTATCTATATGTATAAACTTATTATTAAACTGACGAAAAATCCATTTTACGGCCGTCTGCGTCGACCGTCACACAGCGAACGATGATGATGATGAATGGTGATAATAAAATAGATTCCTATATGCACTATGAAAGACGTTGATTTCGTTTTATTAAAAATCCTACGGGTAAAAAACAGATCTAATTCGTACATATAATAGGCACTATAATACGTGTCGGGTCGAAGCAACCAGCAGCATATATACCATATAATGTATATTGTGTATATACGCCGCGAGACGTCCGTACTTATGCTAATGATGGCGGCAAGAAAAATAAACGAAAAAGGACTTTCAATAGGTAATGTTATCTGCTGCAGTGCGAGGACCGGAATCGATTCGGCCGACGTTTAATTAATGTAGAAGAAAAAAAACCACAGGAGTTACCGAGGAAGTTTAATGATTGTATTATGCCATCGCCGAACTACCGCGGACCGCAGACGCGGCGGTACCGCTCAGGAATATATTTTTTTTCATTTTGCGATCGGACGTTTCACGTATTATATTATTATACGATTGTGCCGTGCGAGTGCGTCTACGCCGCCGACGTTTCGGTGTATACGAATTCCGACGGAAGACCTCGACAACGATAATTATAATTTTGGATAAAATTTTGTCCGACCGCGTAAACAACACCGTAAAAAACGTACGTCGTGTGCCCGCGTACAGACCACGCGCACACCGTTTTTTAATGCATAATATATTACGTATAATATACACATTATAGGCATAGACGTTTAGTGAGCGCCGCGCGCGCGCGCGCGCGCGGTATTAGAGCCAGCTCGACCCATTGTGGCGACCGCGAGTATAATTATTATTAATGTGTGGTTTAGACGGTTTTTAGAGGTCTCGGAATCGGAATACCACGACCAGTGCGGCGAAGGTATCCGACGACGACGACGACGCGTACTTAGAGACGGACAAACGGTATCGGCTCGGACAACGCACACACACACACGCGCGCGCGCGCGCGAAACATAAAACGAAATACTGTATAATGTTATATTATAGCTTAGCTTGGATATATGTATAATGCATAATAATATGTACCCCTACCAATGTGTGCGAGCGAGAGAGTGTGTGTGTCTGTCTGTCCGCGTCCGTCCGTGTCTCCGAGCCGGTGCGCGTGTGCGAGTGTTACGCGCGTGAGCGCGCTACAAGTGATTGTCGGACCACCCAAATGCAATATTGGTTTTGGTTCATTCCGATTT